TATGACAAGAGAAATGATAGTCTTATTTTTAACTGTGAAATTTTAAAGTTCTATATCCTTTGTAAAAAGGAGTGCTTATAGCCTCTCTGCTGAGCCTTGAAAACTAGTTTGTAAGAGCTGTATTCAACATTAAGTTTTGTTGAGGGTTTTGCACATTCTTCTTGCTTAATAATGTTTATTGTAAATGTTTAAATAATAATCACGATAATTTGTCATCTTCACTCTAGGTAGCCACTACTTCTATTGTAGATGTCAATAACTCAATTTACATGGAAGACAGAAGCTACTATTATATATTTTTCTCTCTCCATTTTCTAGTTACTTTGTGAAATTGATAAGCATGTGTGTGTGCATGTGTGTGTGTGCGTGTATAGATGGTGGAACAAGGGGCTTGTTTTCCTGTGGGAAACTTTGGAGCATGTTTGTGGATAGCTCAATGGCTTAATTGAATCAAGTCATTTGCTTTTAATAGCTCTTCTCCCACAGCCCAGTGAAACCTAGACCCGTCACAAAAGATGTTAATCCTAGTCTTAAAATAGTGTCTTCTGTTGAGACCCACAGGCTGTGCCTCAGCAACTGGTCATTTCAGTATTTCTTTTGCATACAATTTTGAGCAATAAATCTACCAGTTCTATCATGAAGGTTGGAATTGCTGCTCTCATAGCAGGAATTATTGGTGCTGTTGGCATTATCCTATTTCTTGTAGCATTTGGAACAGAATATTGGTTACTTGCAACAGAGACCTGTGAAAATTTTGACTCTAACAATGGAACTTCAGACATCGAAGAAGAGGTAAACAGAAATCTAATAAATATACTCTTTAAAAAGTATGGAATTTCAAATAATTACACATCAAGAAAACTTGTGCTTTAAAAATTAACATGCTAGCAATGTAAGATGATTCTTTAGCTTTTAATTTTAGTAGATGTTCTTTTCAAATTTTGTAAATATTTTCTAGGATTGATTTGTAGATTGGAGACATGGAACACATGGTTATCCTCATAGGAAAGAATGGCATACTAAATGGGAAATATGCCAGACAGCTTGAATATATATTGTTGCATATTTACAATGTCAGGAATGTTATTCTCACACTAAAACCTCATAATCTTGATTATTAGTTTGAAAAATGTTCTTATTATTGTGATTTTATTTTTAGTTATTTTCTCAATTAAAACTGAGAATTGGATTTGCCAAATATATATATATTTAACAGTTGGAACAACAAAGCTAAATTCAAGACTTGGGAGGGAAAATAAAAGCAAACATTTCTATCCAATCATTAAATAAACTTGAAACATTATGTTTGTCTACATGAACTCTCCTGAGGAAAAAGTATTTCTCTTTCAGGACTTCAGCAATTTGCTTTTGTTTTGTTATAACTTTAGTCCAATAAGAAAGGATATTTTACAGAAAAGTTTACTTGTAAACCAAAACTTTTTTTCAAATTTTAATGTCAGGAAACAAATATAATCACATTACAAAAATACTCATCATTCACTATTAAACAATTGTAGTTGTTCTTGCAATGTCTTCTTCTGGAAAAATATATTTAATTTTTGAAGTGATTTTCCAGTAAAGAAGAAAAGCTATTGCTCCTCTTAAAGATTCAGTACCACAGAGACCTGGCAGCCTGAGCCAAACTTCTCTGGATTGCTCTGTGTGAGGAGTGTGGAAATGCTGAAGTCTTAGTTTTCAGAAAATTCAGAAGTTGACTAAAGTTTTCTCTCATGCCATCATTCTTTGTTTTTTATTCCATTTTTCCTTTCAGAGAGGCTTCCATTTCTGCAGTTCCTAAAGTACTCTATGCTCTTTACTCAGCATTAATAAAAACCTGCTGCCAGCTAAAGCTCTGATTTACTTATTTATCCATAGATGATGGGTTAATGTTAAGGTACTAACACTCCCAGAAGTATTTGTATTCTAAAGAGATCAACTGAATGCATTTCTAATAGTAGGTTTAAGCTACCTTAATCTTGGCTGGAGGGAGATTTTCCAAGGGGATACCTTTTTGGCATCTGTGATATTATACTACTTATGCTGCCACATACTACATTTGCATCTATGATTAGTTAGAAATCTTCGATAGGAACTGTCAGTTCTCCCCAGGAAGCAGTACTAGATGTCTATGAACAGCACTTTCAGACAACAAATAGAATCCTAGAATGTTAGAACTGGAAGTGATCTTACAAATCATCTGGTCCAGACTGTAATAAGCACTAGTCACCTCACTCTGCAACTAGTGCTATTTTCATCACACTAAGTTAATGACATTGCTTACAAAATCTATTTTTGTATCTAAAGCAACCAGTATATTGACTAACACACATTTGATTCTCAGTAAACATTTACTGAATGAATTATACAGACAAGGAAATTGATATTCAAAAAAGAGAAGTGACTTAAGCCCACAGAACTATTGACTGAAAAACAACTAGAACCCTAGTTATCTTTTCTCTCATTCCAGTGGTACGTCCACTGTTTCCTGATAATTTCATTACATCAGGGTCTATTTCATATTTCCTACATGTGTGTAAGAAGCAAATATCAGACCTGGAGCTAATGTCTCATAAATAGGAAATGATAATTAACAAATCAATTAATTATTTAAAACTTCTGTTCTCCCTATAATAATTAATATGTTGGAATAAAGGTATCTCCAAGTCATCAAAAGTATAAGGTGCTTATCAGTAGTAATTATTATTCTGGACTCTCACTATACTGTTTCTACATTAAGAATACTATTTAGAATGGTACTTGCTGGAAATAAGAAATTAACAAAAATAATGAATCAGAAGATCTCAAATACTTAAAGTTTATTTAATGCAATTATTTCTGTTTTCTAACAAGGAATTACATAGAATGAGAAGCTAGTATTACACTTATGTGGAGAAAGCAGAGAATAATATGAAGATATATTGTTGTACATGTTAGCTTTTGCTTGTCAGCAGAGTGTAACATAGTCTTCTTGAGCATTAATAATTGAGGCACAGAGAGAGAGAAAAAGAAAAAGATCCACAGCTAATCTCCTATCTTATTTTGGTTAGCAATTCCCACCCATATTCTCTTCTCATAATACATAGCTAATCATAGCTGTTAGCAAATGGAACAATTGACAAATTTCATCTGTAGCTTCTTTCCTAGTTGGCCACTGTTGAACTGTCTGTGGTGATGGGTTGTGATTAGTATTTGGGTGGTGAACATGATGTAATCTATGCAGAAATAGAAGTATAATGATGTACACCTGAAATTTATACAATGTTATAAACCAATGTTACTGCGATAAACAAAAAATTAAAATAAATAAATTAATTAATTAAAAAAAAAAGAATTCTCAAACTACTGTGTGCTAGAATTACCTAGGGAGATATTTTTTTTTTTAATGTGGCTTCCTGGCCTTCGCTGTTCAGAGAGTTTGAGTCAACAAGTCTAAGTCCAATAATCTACAGTTTTAACATTTGGATCTTAACCCTGCTCTTCTATACTATGTGGCAAAAAAAACTTATATGGAAACTGAAGGTTGGAGAACACACCCAGTATATAGTTTAGACATTGAGAGAAGTATTGAAAACTATTTCTACATTGGCCAAATACATTAATCATATGAAATAGTCACATTCTTTGTTTTTCATTAGTAGAGATCACTTGGAGCTATCCTGAATTTTCCAGGTTTTTTAATATGATTTTCTTTACAGCTACTTAAAATTAAAAGATTACACAAGTATTCAGAAATAATATTTAGATGACTTAAGAGAATAACTGTTGAATCCCCTCATTTGGAAGCACCCATTTACATCAGAAAAAATATCTTATTAGTTAAATTGAGCTCCCTAAGGACTACTAGTAGACAATGCCTTTTTAAAGTCTAGTTTAAATAACTATGTACTTGAAAGTAAAAAAACTAGATTTCTTAACATATGTCTTTTAGTCTAGACTTTTTCCTAGTCAATCTAGCCTTACTTTGTACTCTTGGGAATAAGTGAGGCTTGACTATTCAAATCTTATCTCCTAGTCACACCACTTTGAAAAATTTCAACCGTGGAGATACTCTGGCTGCAATATTTTTCAATACATCTTTGTTCCTTAGAGACATTTGTCTAGTCGGATTAGTGCAAATGTGCAACATAAATGGTGCCACTTCAGGAACTCAACTCATTGGCTGTGACCACGGAAAAAGGTCCTGCTATGATTGTTAGGCCAAAGTTATAGTGCAATGGTTCTCTAAGTTATTATTTAGGGGAACATATAGGAGAAATATACAATATTTAAGGAAAATCAAAATTTTATAATGTATTTATGTATATTTTAGTGAGGCAACTGTTTAACTGATATTGTTCTTTTGAGAGTACTAACCCCTCAGTCACATTGCACAGAATCAATGGACTCTTTCTCAAGTCCTTCTAAAATTAAGGAGTTTGTGAAACCTATGCTCTCCATTTACATTGCTGTAATTAGGCAGTCAGTCAACCAAAGAAATGTATTGAGCCTACTCCAGGCCTAATACTGTACATCTAATGCACTTATTCTTAATTTTGAAATTTTCAACATTTAAAACTTTTCATTATAAAAAATTTAAAAATATACAATAATAGAGGGAATAGTATAATGATTATTCATCTACCTACCAACAGACTTCAAAAATATCAACATTTTTCCATTCGTTATTGGTTTTTTCAAACAATATAAAGTCTCCCTACTCAAATTAAAGTCCACACACCAGCAAAAATGGCATCACTTGGGACCTTCTTGGAAATGCAGAATTTTATGTCTCATTCAGTTGTAATAAATCAGAATGTATATCTTAACAAGATTTCTAGTTGACTTGAGTGCACATTAAAATTTGAGAAGCACGGGTACAAAACACATGCCAGACAGCACTTTCTATAATGAACTTCCTACTCTGCAGAAAAATAGTACTCAGTATCTTGTAGAATTCCATGCAAAATGAGATTTCATTTGTGAAGCCAAAATTTCCAAAGTTTGAATATTTGTTTTTATAGAATGATGAAAATGTGAGAGACTACGAGGAAATGTCCTTTATATATCACCATGAAGGCTTCTTCTGGAGGTGCTGGTTCTTTGGAGATGATCCACAAACTTCAGTTTGGAGATACTGGTTTAGTGAGTGTGAGATATTATTATCTGATATTTTAAAGATATGGCCTCAGCTTCAAAAATAATATCTTATATGGAAATTGAAGGGGATATATATTAGGGATGTATACTCAGTATTAAAAGCCCAAGATTGGAGGATAACACTTTCTGTTTTCATTAGTTGTTTGGCCTGGAAGGCAACTGGTTATATTGAAGCCATCTGAATAAGATCCTACTTGCCTTAGAGTCAGACATAAAATCATCCATGTTTTCTTCCAAGATAGAATAGTTGTCTTATCATGCTACTTATGCCTTTCTATATAATTATAAGTTACTAAGGTGGAATTAAAGTTTAAAAAGTGGCAACATAAAGCTTGAAAATTTAGGATCTTCATTTAATTTAAGCTTAACTATTTTAAAAATCATATTCTTTTTAAGAACTGACCAGGATTTTACCTACCTGTTGAAATAATTTTACGCACTGGAGACAGGGCTTCTAATCCTTACTTTATCACTTTATAACTGCTTGACTGTTGGCAAATTGCTTAACCTCTTTTTGCTTATTTTTTAAAGGTGATTATTTCCAGCATGTTTATCAATGTTAATTTAATATGCAGCACCAATGAGGTTAATAAAAATAATTGAGCCTTGTTTCTTTCTATTTGTCTAGATATTCTCTCTCTCCATCAAGCTGCAAATCAAATTAATGGCATTCAATGAACTGTGGTTTGAGGGAAATTCAGGAGTCAAAACATGGTCAAGGACCGTATCTATTTAACTAGCTGTTTTTAGCACATTTGTTCTTAAAATATTATATGAACATAATAAGAATAATCTAAATACAAATAAAGAATATGATTAAGAACTCTAATACACTACTCTGTCAGGAACTCCTGGTAACTGTTGTAACTCTAGAATGTGTGTATCAAAGGGCAAATGCTATTTGTTTTTAATGATCCAATAATCTAGGGATCTTATTTGCAAGTGTGCTTAAGAGGTTCTTGTTTCTATAACATTGTAATTACAATGTCAATACAAATGGAATCCTCCTTCAGAATTCATCAGAATACAGATTTACTCAAAGAAATATTCATGAAGAAATCATATATTCACAGTACTATATTTAGCTAGGAAGTCATTGGATGTAATCCACATCCTTCAAGAGCTTATTTCCTAATTGGTGTCAGGCGTAAACACATTCACAAATACAATAAAAAAGGCAAGGATGTAATTGATGTCACAAGGCAGTATAGGCTATATACTATGAGTATAGGCATTAAATATTTAAAAGGTCAAGGGAAAGAGAGGGATTTAAGAACTATGGTTGTCAGGGATTGTTTCCTGTTGGAGACAGAAGTTGAATTAAGTCCTGAATGATAGGAAAGATTTGGGTGGAAAGTTAAAAAGGTAGAGTACACTGAGGGGTATGAATAACAATATAGAGATAGGAAAAAACTTGTCTCTTTTGAGAGAGTAGGTAGATCACTCTGACTGTCATTGAGGGTTCATGGGGTGGTGTGGTTGGGGATCAGATCTGAAAGTAGATTTGGGCCAAATTGTGAAGAACTATAAATGAATGACAGTGGGAAACCACAAATCTGGGTATATAATGCCTCAAGGAAAATACCTTCCATTAATATGCTGTGCAAATCCTAACAAATTTTTTAAAAATCCATTGTATTTGAATAATTTTACAACAAAAATGAAGACATTTGAAAATATCAGCAACCACATATACTAAAATACTAGTAGTGAGGCAGGATTTCTAGCATTATGGAATAAGTAGGTTAGAGGACCCATTCCCCAACAAAACAATTTAACTGTTGAAAATTATAAAAAACAGTCATTCAAACTCTCTGGACATTGTCCTGAAGGTGTACAAAAAATAGAGATGCTTTCATTCAAGACTATTTATTAAATCTCAGTGAGAGCATCATGAGTTTGTGGCATTTGAGCCTCAACCCACTCTGTTAAACCCCTATCCTCAGCTCTGTGTTTGGAAGCTCTACCCTGTGTGTGTGCAGCTAATTAAACAGGGGCTCCTTTTTGTCTGGCTCCCAGTCTAAATTATGGTTTATTTCTGCAAGGGGCAACCTGTTAGTATGTCTTATACTCTCCAGCCATGACTTACAGCAGCTCTGTTCTAAGTGTGCAGTAGAAAGGCGTGGTCTCCCTGCCTGTGCCAAGCCCCACTCATAGGGTGGAAGTTCTACCAGGTACAGCAGGTTGAGAAAACTGGTCCCTATTGTCCTACACTGATTTGTTCATTGGGTAGAGGTTCGACACTGGAGAGAACAAAGAGGCTGCCACCTGCCCCCCCCCAGCATGCATTCATAGAATGGGGGTGTCATTTGGGTTTCCTGCCCCCAGCTTTGCTGCAAAGGTGCAGGAATTCTGCCCTGGGGGAATGTTAGGCAAGAGATATAGGACATAAGATAAAAGTGTTCTGCAACTCTGTCTGAAGAACTGACTAATTTGGAACAGAGATTGGAGATCTCCTTGTCAAAGAGTGTTATCAGAAACAGTGAGATCTTTTCAGAGAGCAATTAAAAGGAGGCCATTAGCAATATGGTACAAGCAAAACAATAAAGCAGCCAGAAGGTTAATAGGGAGAATTAAGAAAGACAATCCAGAAGAGCTCTCTTGGGAGTGTAGTAAATTCTGGGGTTTGGGAAAACTGTACGTATGTGCCAAACTGTACCCACTCAGAAGCAATCAGAGCAAAATGTAGGGCAGACTTGGAAGCATTTCCCAATACATACAGAGCCATTAACACAGAACTGAAGCCTCGCTGGCATAAGGGGTTTAAACACAATCTATGACCAAACACTGACTAGACAATAAGCTATTCTGACCAGGGTCAACTCCTAGGAATCTAGGCTTAAAAATAATATCAGATACATCCCAGAAATGCTAGAAGTTTGTGTACATGCCCAAGACTGCACTCTCTTACGAGTGATCAGAGAAGGAATCGCTAAGCTACTAGTGCTTGGATGGATGTGGGGAAAAAAATGCATTAAGTAAACCATGCTTAAAAGATTGAAGGAATGCATTATGACAATGTCTCATCAAATTGAGAGCGTCAATAAAAAGAAATCATTTTTATAAATAAAAATTCTGGAGTTGAAAGTTGAATAATTGCAATGAAAAATTTACTACAGGGGGTAGAAAAGAGAAAGTCAAGTCACCATGTACAAAGGAACACCAAAAAACTTAAAAAAACATAAAAAAGAGCTTTTTAAAAAACATAAAATTATATGAGGTAATAATTATAACAATGAATTTTTAGTTTTTAACATACTTAGATGTGATATATGTATGTGAATAATTGCCCAAAAATTTGGGGAGAAAATAGAGATATATAGAAAAAGAATTCTACATGTTACTGAAACAATCAGTATAAATGTGAAGTAATTCTAATAAATAAATATGTAAACTGTATGCCCCAGAGAAACTACTAAAAAATAACTTAAAAAATAAGGTTAAAAAACTATTAAAAGTGGGCCAGCCCAGTGGTGTAATGGTTAATTTCGGCATGCTCCACTTCAGCAGCCCAGGGTTTGTGGATTCAGAACGTGAGTGTGGACCTACACCACTCATCAAGCCGTGCTGTGGCAGCGACCCACATACAAAATAGAGGAAGATTGGTACAGATGTTAGCTCAGGGCCAGTCTTACTCAAGCAAAAAGTGGAGGATTGGCAACAGACTTTAGCTCAGGGCCAATCTTCCTCACCAAAAAATAAAAACAAAAAACCTGCAAAATAAAAACTATTAAAAGGATAAAAATGTTACACTGACAAAAATGTTAGCATTGACATCACTACTGACAGTATAGAAATAAAAATAATTAAAGAGAAACACTACATACACCTGTATGCTAACAAATTAGATAACCTAGATGAAGTTACTAGGTTAATGAAGATGAATAAATTACTAAAAAGACACAAACTACAGAAACTGACTCAAGAATAAAATAGAGAATCTGAATAGACCTATAATAAGTAAAAGAGATTGAATTATTAATGAAAATATTTCCCTCAAAGAAATAATTGGAAATTAAAAAGTAAAATTATCTCTATTTGCAAATGACATCATCTTATATATAGAAAATCCTAAGGAATACACTAAAAAATCTATTAGAACTAATAAAAATATTCAGCAAAGTTTCAGGACACAAGATTTATATACAAAAATCAATGGTATTTCAATGGCAATAAACATTATAAAATGAAGTTAAGAAAACAATTCCATTTACAATAGTATGAAAATAAAATATTTGGAAATAAATTTAGCAAAAGAAGTGTAAGACTTGTATGCTGAAATCTACAAAATATTGTTGAAAGAAATTAACAGACTTTTGAACAAATGAAAAGACATCCCATGTTTCTGGATTGGGAACTTAATATTATTAAGATGGTAATACCCCTTAAATTGATCTAAAATTTCAATGTAATCTCTATCATAGGTGTAGCTCTTTTTTTTCCCTCAGAAATTGCTACCCTGATTCTAAAATTCTTATGGAAATGCAAGGGACTCAGAACAGCAAATACAATATTGAAAAATACCAAAACTGGAGAACTCACACATTTTAAAATTTACTGTAAAACTACAGTAATCAAATCAGTGTGGTAGTGTCACAAGGATAAACATACAGATCAATGGAATAGAGTTGAGAGTCTAATAAGAAACCCTTAGGTTTATGGTTAATTGATGTTAGACAAGGGTTCAGGCAGAATTCAGTATGGAAAGAATAATCTTTCAACAAATGGTACTGAAACACTGTTATCCACAAGCAAAAGAATGAATTGCACTCCTATCTCATATCATACACATTAATTAAGTAAAAATGAATCATAGACCTAAATATAAGAGCTAAAACCATAACATTCTTACAAGAAAATATATGAGCAATCTTCATGAATTGGACTAGGAGATAGTTTCTTAGATATGAAATTAAAAATATAAGGGTCAAAAAATAGATAAATTGGACTTTAAATTTTAAAATTTTTGTGCTGCTTATAATTCCACCAAGAAAATGAAAAGACCATTAACATAACGAGAGAAAATAATTGCAAATCATGTATCTATCTCCTAAGGGACTTGTATCCAGAATGAAGAAAGAGCGCTTAAAACTCAATAATGAAAGGAAAAATAACACAATTAAAATTGTAAAAAAACAAATGAATAGACATTTCTCCAAAGAGGATATACAAATGACCAATAAGGACATAAATGATGCTCAACATCATTAGCAATCCAGGAAATGAAAATCAAAACCACAATGTGATACCACTTCACATCCACAAAGATGGCTATAAACAAGAAGACAGATGCTAAGTTTGGGGATAATATGGAGAAATTGGAACACTTATACACAACTGGTTGTTACATAAAGTGTTGCAGCCACTTTGGGAAACAGTATGACAGTTCCTCCAGAGGTTAAACATAGAGTTAGCAATTCTGCTCTAGGAATATACCTAAGAGAAAACAAAATCTGTCCCAACAAAAACTTGTACATTAATATTCAAAGCAGCATTATTCATAATATCCAAAAAGTGGAACAATTCAATTGTCTGTCCACTCATGAATGGATTAAAATATATGGTATATCTGTACAATGGAATGTTATTCATCAGTAAAAAAGAATGAAGTTTTGAAACAGCTACAACATGGATGAAACTTGAAAACATTATGCTAAACGAAAAAAGCCATTTACAAAAGACCACATATTGAATGCTTCCATTTATATGAAAAGTCCTGAAAGGTACATCTATAGGGACAAAAAGTAGATTAGTGGTTGCTTAACACTGAGGTTGGGTGAGTGAAGAATGACTGCTAATAGGTAAGGAATTTCATTTTAGGGTGATGAAAATGTTCAAAAACTATATTATGGTGATGGTTTCACAACTTTCTCCATACATGAAAAAGAACTGATTAGAGCACATATATAGGTGAATTGTATAGTATGTGAATTATATTTGAATAATGTAATTCAAAATACTAGTAGTCCAGGTTATAGAATTTACATGATTGGATTTTTAAAAAATATATCTATTTTTCCTGATATTTTACAACGATTATTGAATATTTGTTTAATAAAGATAATTTTGATCCACATCATCATACACATATATTGTTATTAAGTTGTTGGTAGCCTCTATTATTTGAGGTACAAGTTTTCTGCTTATCATTACTTCATATCCAGGTCTCAAATTGGTATAGTCCATGAAATTGTCATTTTTCTAACAACCCAACGTTCCCTTATATTTTTGTATCCTTATTTGTTTGATTTTCATCTATTGTCAGCCATTTTGATTGTTCTGTTTCCCCATCACACACATATTAATGCTTATAAATATATTTGTATATAAAACTTTTTCTTTCCAACTGATTTTTCCCTTTAGATATTTATTCCTCACAGTGGACTATACCCCATCAATGTTTGTGAACCACTTTGTAGCCTTTAGATACATAATCTAGATTGACAGCCTAGACATGACAGATCTATGAATTAAACCTGGTGAGGATAAAGTATGTCAAATGGAGTTGGAGTAGACATGTCAAGGAATAAATATGAAAGTTTCTTGTCATTAATAACCCACATTTTTAGAGCATAGGCAAATCTTAATTCTTTTCTTTGACATTAATTGTAAAAGCATTTATTATAGCAAATTAATTTGGTATTCATACAGCAGTAATAATCAATTCAATGGGAATTCTTTAGTAATTTAAGTGGAAACAAATGTCCACTTATCATGAAGTGTTACTGCTAAACAGAAAACACTTTAAAATAAGTGTCACTCCATTAATGCATTTAACAGTCTCAGTATATCATTAATCATGATGAGACACTGGTATTAATATTGATATAATAGCACTTCCATTGTGATGACATGCTTTCTCATACACTTATATAATCAGAGAACATTACTATTAGAGAAGACATTAGAGGATATCTAGTCCAACTCCTTACCTGATTAACGTATGAATCCCCCCTAAAAAAGTTGACAAGTAACCATCAAGTCTATTCTTAAAAATCTCCATTGAAGGAAGCTTAGATTCCTTCATCAGGCACCCTATTGTAATATCTGACAGCTGTAATTGCTACACGTTTCTTTTTTTTTACTGGAAAAAAATAAGTCTTTCTGAAACTTCTGACCACCGGCCCTGATTCTGTCCTCTGGAGCCACACAGAACAAACTGAGTACCTCTATCTATGACAGCTCCTCAAGTGACTAATGAGCATTATCATTTGTGCCTTCTCATCATCACCCCTGCCACACATTTTTATGCTTAAATATCCTAATTTCATCTTACTGTTTCTAACAGGATATAATTTCTTATTCTGTCACCAATTTAATAACTCTTCACAGAGTGTGCACAAATTTGCTCACGGCCCTTTTAAAATGAGGACTCACCATTAACATATTACTCCAGATGTGGCATATTACTTATTTTTTTTGAACACGCTACCTCTATTCATGCAGCCTAAAATGGCATTTCCTTTTTGGAAAGCCTAATGCACAATAACTTATACTTATAATCAATTCCATTGGCCTATATTATTTTCTGTTTATCCATATATTTCCATCTGTCTGGTACAAGTGGAATTTGAGATTAAGTACAAGACTTTACATTTATCCATGTTAAATTTCATTATGCTAAGTTCAACCCACTGTTGAGATCTTTTTGCATCCTGATTCTGTCTTCTAGTATATTGGCTACCATGACTATAGGCATCTGACATGCAAGCAGTTAACTTACTTCCAGATGGTTTGGCCTATGTCATAGTGTTGTATATTATAATTTGTAAGGTGGTATCTCACCTTGTTTCTTAGTTGGAAAATAAAATGAGAGTGGTACCACTGTGCCATATTGCCAAATATGTAGCTATGTTTTGTCCCTATCATGCCCTATGATCTTTTAGAAAGTGGAAATCTTTTTACTTCTTTTCCATTGCTGAAATCTAGGTTCTTGTCTCAAATATGTTTTCTATTTTCCTATATCACTGCCTGTGCCTGTGCCCTATTCTCTATCTAGAATGTCCTTCATCCCACTTTCACTTGTTAAACTAATAATCATCCTTCAAGGCCAAAGTCAAATTCTATAACTGTTCGAATGCCTCCTGGGCCAGCCCCATGGCTTAGCAGTTGGGTGCGCGCACTCCGCTACTGGCGGCCTGGGTCGGATCCTGGGCGCGCACCAACGCACAGCTTCTCCGGCCATGCTGAGACCGTGTCCCACATACAACAACTAGAAGGATGTGCAACTATGACATACAACTATCTACTGGGGCTTTGGGGCAAAAAAAAGGAGGAGGATTAGCAATAGATATTAGCTAAGAGCCGGTCTTCCTCAGCAAAAAGAGGAGGATTAGCATGGATGTTAGCTCAGGGCTGATCTTCTTCACAAAAAAAAAAAAAAGAATGCCTCCTTGGTACCTCCTGGTTAGAATTAATCTATTCCTCCCCTTAGTCACCTAGAGTAATATCCTTACTACATTTTCTATCCCTTGAAACAGCCTACAATTAATAATAGTTTCTTGGACATGTGTGTTTATTTCTGCCACTTTATTGTAATCTCTTTGAAGCTGGAGACTTAATATTCTCCACAGCACTTATCTTTGTTCTTTTCATTACATACTGGATGCTGAGTAAATTGAATGTGCAAAAAATAAAAAAGACATTGAATTAGAGTTCACACACAAGGATTCTAGTCCCCATTTTTCCGTGTGTGACCTTGGGGAAGTCATTTCCCTTTCTCTGTGCCCCAACAGCCTTATCTACAAGATGAGATATTTTCATCTCGTTATTTATTCAGTCTTTGATTATAATATTTTATTGATTTTTTTGCATAAATGATCAGAGTATAATTTCCAAGGTCTTCAAATTCAAAATAAGTTATATTTGATCTTTTGCAGTGAATCAGCCTCATCCCAAGCGCTGTATTCCTGGGTATCTCTTTCCTATGCCAATTGCTGTTGGACCTTTTCCACATCCTTCCTTTGATGCAACTACAGGTGAGTTTTGAAAAATATCCCCAGGCTTCATCATATGTATGGCCAAGATATATACTTAAAGGCTTACTTAGTATTAATGACATCAGTGTTTTGTGCTAGATTTTGGTCTAAGATGGTTATCTCTGCATATGTTCTCCAGCCACAAAATAGATTTAACCCAGCCACCTTATCAATGGATGACACTGGATGCAAGTAAAGCAAAAAAGGAAAACAAATGAAATTTGAAAATCTGCCAGGTGCTAAGCATAAAAATGAATCTAGCTTCATCCTAACATGAGCCTATAAGTAAAATACTGTTAGTCTCATTTTACAAATGAGGAAAGTGATGCTCAGAGACATTAGAAGCTGTAGAACCCAAATTACGAATCAGGTATTTTTTATTCCAAAACCTGAAATCTTGATTATTACACTACACTGATCCAAGATAGAACTGAGCAAGAGATTCAAATATTTCCATGCGGATTTTTCCCAACACAATTCAGAAACATATTCAATTTCCATTCTCTAGCATTAGAAGTTAGGTAGAATCATCTTCCTATCTTGAATATAGTACATTTGATTTTTTTAAACCCTTAATTTGGAAATATTTGAACATATACACAAAACTAAATAGAATGGCATAAATAGCATTATAAATTCACATGAAACCAGTACCCAGCTTTAAAAATTATCAGCATTTTAACATTATTATCATCTGTTGTTTCGTCTATTCCTCTCCCCCTTTTTTGTAGGGGGAGGTATTTGAAATCAAATCCAAGACAGCACATTATTTCATCCACAATTATTGTACTTACATTGGATTGTAAACAAACTAAAGATCAGTCAAAAAGCACATAAATTCATGCCTGACACCAACAGATGAGGAGGGTGAGCAGCCTAGCCTCCTAGTCCCATGACACTTGCATGTGGCACCGACAAACATGGAAGGTGAGCAGCTCTGCCCACACATATTGCTCTTTTGGCCCTGACAGACATGGTGGGCAAACAGCTCTTCCCCCACACAACACTTGGGTGACACTGTCAGAGCCAATGGACTTTCACAGCCCACCCGGGGGATGCCCTTTAAGCTTCTAGATTTGGTAGTCAGAGGGGATTGTGTTTCTGGACGCCAAGTGATATCACTTACGCAAGACTACTCCTTCAAGACTTGGAGAGGTACTTGATTTGCCTGATACATAGAAACAAACACAGAGAGTCAGGCAAAATGAGGAGACAAAGGAATATGTTCCAATAAGGCAAGTATGAAGGTTAAAAGACAAAAAGAGTAAAATTAACTAAAACTACAATAATTAGTTAAGGGATGCATAAAATAAAAAGATATAAAATGTGACATCAAAAATATAAAATGTGGGGAGTGAGAGTGAGAAAAAAATGTAAAGTTTTGGAATGTGTTCCAATTTAACTGCTGTCAACTTAAAACAGACTATTATATATATAGGAAGTTACATATGAATCTCACGGTAACCATAAAGCAGAAACTTACAGTAAATGCACAAAAGAAAATGAGAAAGGAATCTAAACATAACTCTAAAGAAAGCCATTAAACTATAAAGGAAGAGAGAAAGAGAAGAAGGGAACAGAGAGGAGCTACAAAAACAGCCAGAATACAATTAACAAAATGACAATAAGTACATACCTATCAACAATTACTTTAAATGTAAATGGACTAAACTCTCCAATCAAAAGACATACAGTGGCTGAATGGATAAAAAAGCAAGACTCATCCGTATGCTGCCTACAAGAGACTCATTTCAGAAGTAAAGACACACAAAGACACAAAGTGAAGAGATTAAGAAAGATATTCCATGCAGGTGAAAATAAAAACAAAGCTGCCATAGCTATACTCAAAACAGATGAAATAGACTTTAAAACAAAGACTGTAGTAAAAGATAAAGATGGGCTTTACATAATGATAAAGGGATCAACACAGCAAGAAGACATAGCACTTATAAATATGTATGCTCCCAACATAGCAGCAACAAGATATATAAAGCAAACGTTAACAAACCTAAAGAGAGAAGTTGACAGCAGTACAAAAATAATAGGGGACTTTAACACCCCACTTACATCAATGGGTAGATCATCCACACAAAATATTAAATGGGAAATATGAGCTTTAAATGACACCTTAGACCAGGTAAACTTAACAGATATATACAGAACATTCTGTCTGAAAGCAACAGGATATCCCTTCTTTTCAAGTGCGCTTGGAATATTCTACAGGATAGATCACATGTTAGGCCATAGAACAAGTCTTTGTAAATTCAAGAAGACTGAATTCACAGCAAGCATCTTCTCCAACCACAATGGTATAAAACTAGAAATCAATAACAAGAAGAAAACTAGAAAAAAACACAGAAACGTGAAAATTAAACAACATACTACTGACCAATCAATGGTCCATTGAAGAAATTAAAGAAGAAATCAGAAAATACCTGGAGACAAATGAAAATGGCAATACGCCATACCCAAATCTTTGGGATGCAACAAAAGCGGTTCTAAGAAGCAAGTTCAGAGCAATACAGACCTACATTGAGAAACAAGAAAAATCTTAAATAAACAAACTAATTTTACAACTAAAGGAGCTAGAAAAGAACAAATGAAGGCCAATGTGAGTAGAAGAAAGGAAATAATAAAAATCAGAGAAGAAATAAACAAATAGAGACTAAACAGATAATAGAAAAGATCAATGAAACTAAGAGCTGGTTCTTTGAAAAGATAAACAAAATTGACAAAACTTCAGCTAGACTAACCAAAAAAAAGAGAGAGGGCTATAATAAACAAAATCAGAAATGAAAGAGGAGAGTTACAACTGATACCACAGAAATGCAAAGAATCTTAAGAGACTACTACGGACAATTATATGTCAAAAAATTTGACAACTTAGAAGAAATGGATACATTTTTAGAAACATACAATCTTCCAAGATGGAATCATGAAGAAATAGAAAATCTGAATAGACTGACTACTAGTAAGTAAATTGAATCAGTAATCAAAAACCTCCCCAAATCCAAAAGTCTGGGACCAAATGTCTTCACTGGTGAATTCTGCCAAATATTCAAAGAAGATTTAATACTTATCCTTCTCAAATTCTTCCAAAAAATCAAAGAGGCGAGAATGCTTCCAAACTCACTTTCAAGGCCAGCATTACCCTGATACCAAAACCTGACAAGAACACCACAAAAAGAGAAAATTACAGGCCAATATTGCTGATGAACACAGATGCAAAAATCCTCAACAAAATATTAGCAAACCTAATTCAACAATATGCTAAAAGGATCATACACCATGATCAAGTGGGGTTTATTCCAGGGATGTAAGGATGGTTCAACATGTGCAAATCAATGTGATACTCTATACTAAGAAAATTAAGAATAAAAATCATATCATCATCTCAGTAGATGCAGAGAAAACATTTGACAAAATTCAGCATTCATTTACAATAAAAACTCACAACAAAGTAGGTATAAAAGGAATGTACCTCAACATAATAAAGGCTATATATGACAAGCCCACAGCTAACATCATGCTCAATGGTGAAAACCCGAAAGCATTTCCTCTAAGATCAGGAACAAGAAAAGGATGGCTACTCTTTCCATTTTTATTCTATATAATACTGAATGTCCTAGCCACAACAATAAGGCAAGGAAAAGAAATAAAAGGCGTCAAAATTGGAAAGGAAGCAGTAAAATTGTCACTATTTGCAGATGACATACCACATATAGAAAACTCAAAATACTCCACCAAAAAACTGTTATAACTAATAAATGAATTCAGTAAAGTTGCAGGAAACAAAATCAATGTACAGAAATCTGTGACATTTCCATACACTAATAATGAACTGTCAGAAAGAGAAATTAAGAAAATAATATCCCATTTACAATTTCATTAAAAAATAAAATGCCTAGGAATAAATTTAACCAAGGCACTAAAAATCCTGTACTCTGTTATCTATAAGACACTGATGAAAGAAATTGAAGACAACACAAATAAATGGAAAGAATTTCTATGCTTATGGATTAGAAAAGTTAATATCGTTAAAATGTCCATACAATCCAAAGGAATCTACAGATTCAGTGTAATCCTTGTCAAAATTCCAATGGTATTTCTCACAGACTAGAACAAATAATGCTAAAATTTGTATGGAACCACAAAACATCCCAAATAGCCAAAGCACTCTTAAGAAAGAAAAACAAAGCTCGAGGTATTATGCTCCCTGATTTCAAACTATATTACAAAGCTATATTAATCAAACAATATGGTATTGGCATAAAAACAGACACACAGATCAATGGAACAGAATTGAGAGCCAAGAACTAAACTCATACATATACAGACAATTAATTTATGACAAAGGAACCAAGAACATATGACAGAGAAAGGACAGGCTATTCAATAAATGATGTTGGGAAAAATGGACAGCCACATGCAAAAGAATGAAACTAGACCACTTATATTATACCATACACAAAAATTAACACAAAATGAATTAAAGACTTGAATGTAAGACCTGAAACCATAAAATTCCTAGAAGAAAATATAGGCAGTAAGCTCCTTGACATTGGTCTTAGCGATATCTTTGTGGGTCTGACTCCAAAGGCAATAGAAATAAAAGCAAAAATAAACAAATAGGACTACATTGAACTAAATAGCTTCTGCACAGTGAAGTAATCCATCATCAAAACAAAAAAGCAACCTACTTAATGAGAGAAGATATTTGCAAATTGTTTATCCAACAGGGGGTTAATATCCAAAATATATAAATAACTCACACAACTCAACAACCAAAACCAAACAACCTGATTAAAACATTGGCAGAGGACCTGAATACATATTTTCCAAAGAAGACATACAATGGCCAATAGGCAGATAAGATGTTCAATATCACTAATTATTAGGGAAATGCAAATCAAAACTACAATGAGATATCACCTCATACCTGTTAAAATGGCTATTAACAAAAGGACAAGAAATAACAAGTGTTGGAGAGGATGTGAGAA